CCCCCCACAGACCATCCAGTGGTCCCCCCGCCCAGCACTGCTGGGCCCCTCCACGGGCACCGCCACCCACCCACGTTGCAAGGCAACTGACCAGCCAGAGATGCCCAGAATTATACCTTGTCTACAGTCCTGGGGGCTCCGTCAGAGGGGACCAGAGACGCCAGAAGGCTGCCTCATGTTTCCCTGGGTCCCGGACTGGCTCTGCAGCCGTGGGCCAGACACTAGAGCCCTTGCTCCCAGCTCACTCCTCTGTGTGGCCTGTGTTTGGTGTCCTGGGGCTGCCTTAACAAAGTGCCACGAACCGGGGGCTCAGAACAACAGGAGTCTGTTGTCTCCCAGCCCTGAAGATACAGAAATCAAGACGTAGGCCAGACAGCACTCCCTCCGGAGGCCACGGGAGAGGGTTCTTCATGCCCCTCTTGCAGCTTCTGGTGACCCCAGGCCTGTCTTGGCTTGTGGCCACATCACCCCAATCTCTGCTTCCACGTGGCATCACGTGGCCTTCTCCTCTGTGTCTCTCGGTGATTCTCTTCTACCTTTCAGGACATTTGTCCTTGGATTCAGGGTTCACCCTGATCATGGAGGATGATCGTATCTCCAGATCCTTCCCTTAATCGCATCTCCAAAGACCCTTTTTCCAAATAAGGTGACATTCACAGGGTCCAAGTGGACATTGCTTCTGGGGGCCACCATCCGCGACCCAGTACGCCAGCAAGGGCTGGCCCTCCGCTAACTGGTACAGCCTGTTCTTCCTGCCACAGCCTCCTGTCAAGCTCAGGGCCAGAGGCCTCGGTGGCAGGATCTTAGAGACCAACTTCTGAAAGTCATATGTGTGGCCTCAGATTCAGGAGAGGAAGTCCCACCTCGGCCCATGACCATGGCCTGCCCACGCTCCAAGGAGGAGGTGCACTTCCTGTCCGGGGAGTGGCCATGGCCAGCTGGAGAAGAGCAGGCCCAGACCCGGTTCTGCTTTTGGGGAGGTGACACTTCTCAGTGCCATTTCCTATGGAGGCTAAGGGTCAGGGACAGTCCGAGGCTTCTTCCAGTTCCCCAATCTGCAAGGCCTCGTCTTCCTGTGGGTTCAGTGGCTCCGTGTCGGGGGATCGCTGGCCCCCTACAAACCCGCCATAGGGGCCTGGGGCCTCAAAAATGATCAGGAAAGGGAAGGGGCTGTCATCGTCAAATGACAACTCAGTGCCAGTGAGGGGTCACTGTCCTCCCCTTACGCTGACACAGCACAGGGAATTGGCCACAGGGGTAGATTCAAACAGGAGTCTGATTCTAGAACCAGATGCAGCCTCCCTCCCCAGGAGAACAAACCACCGATAACTAAAATAGTTACTAGCTGGGGCAAGAAATAGAAAAAACATGGGCTTGAAAGAAGAGAGGACACAGGCGGAGCCCGTGGAGCCCCACCCGTGCATGTTTTGTGTGCATGTGTCCCAGGCAAGGCTGCAGACAGAAGACTGTTGTCCTGAAGAGAGAGGCAGGTGACCTCCAGAAAGCCCTGGATCAGAGGCCCGGTGCTGCCCC